CCCCTGAGACACCCTAGTGTGCTTACATTCCGAGGTGTATCCTAACCCTTTAAAGTATCCTTACCTACGAACGTAGTATCCCATAACGTGTCGGGAGAAATCAACGGCACTCGCAAAACCATGAGATCTCAGCCCCTGGGGCACTTGTTTCCTAGCCAAACACCGATTACTAAACTCACCATTAAGACCATTCTTGCTGGCAGACAACATTGCAAGTAGATTATCAAGCATTGTTATTTTAGCCAGGCAAACGAAAATCGCTTCAGAACTCCTTGATTTTCAGCTTTTCTCCCTAGTTGCTCATTTGCCGTTTCCCAAGCACCGTAAAAGTCAGTCAGCACCGATTCGTAAGTTTTCTGAAAAATCCATTACTTTCCTCTCACGGATCATGAGTACTCTGACAACTTCTACTTTTAGGGCTCTACTCAATGGCAAAGGAAAGCACTTGGTGGTCACCGAGCTGCTGTACATAAGAATATGATCTCATTGTAGAAAATGGTCATCAAAATGCATGTAAAATAAAAATATCAACCCTCAAATCAAGGGTTGTGTTCTGTGATGTACCCGTCCGCTTCCCCCCCCCTGCCACAGCAGCTGAGCATGTATCGTGTCCCTATAACGAGTTGTGTGATCGCTTCATATTTTAACGTGGCCATAAGTATTTTTATAAATTCTAACAATCTTTCAGCATGATAGTCGACCCTTTTGAGTGGAACAGTAGATTAGTCTTGGCGGGACATCGTCCGTGCAGGTCCGTTATGGTACCTCTTGCAAACAGGTACCCCCTCTCCGACGGAAAATTTTTGGGGAAAATGTAGGAAAATTTTCGGTAAATTCCGGAAAAAGTAGTTGGAAGTTGGGGATCATCGAAGAAATTTTCCCGTTTTATATTGTATTTATATCTCCCGCTCCCGTCCGACGGAAGCAGGGCACATCGTTGGTTGGGGAATCCCCAACAGGGGGGTCGTAGTGAGTGCGGCAGCCAGTAACGAGCAGCGCAAATTGTCAAGTGTGCTGAGTCCTGTACAGCGAAACTTGCTTTGTAGAGAACTC